CTCTACCCTCAGCCCCGGACATCCACAGCCCTAGGACATTCTGAGAAGAGCCAGAAATGCCCTTTATGACATTCGCCGGGTCCACCTTGGAGTCAGTTACTAAAAGGAGTCACCAAGACTGAAAACGCCCAGGCCTTCCGGCCTCGTCACCCCGCAGGCCTCTGCAGGGAGCAGGTCCTGACCTACAGAAGCCTTCATCCCGTTAGAGAGCTTCGCACAGGAACGTGAGGCCCCGCGGTTGGAGGAGTGACAGGATCACACGGGGGCCGTGCCCCAGGGGCAGAAGAACAGGACAAGTGACGTGAGCGCTGGCCCCGGACAGCCCCGAGGAGCCTGGGTGGCCTCCGGGTCACAGTGGGGCCGGGTAGGAGTGGGGGGAGGAGACCGAAGGGCCAGGCTGGGGGGAGGCTGGCGCGGGAGCTCGCGGGGGTGCGGGGCTGGGGAGGGGAGGCCGCACCACGCAGAGCTCGCACACGCAGCCACAGGACTTGGGAGCTCACGCCCACGGTACAGGAGCCCATGAGGGTTTCCGGAAGGGAAGCAGGCGCTGACTTTGGGAAGATCCACAGGACAGTAAGACACCGTAGCCAGTGGTGCAAGGTCAAGGGGCCGCGACTCAACAAAGGGCCGTGGATCTGGGAGAACAAGGATGGGGTGCCCTGGCACGGGCTATGCCGGGCGGAGGGAAATCAAGCCTTTCCCGTCACTCCTGCCTCCCCACGTGGCTGGGGTCCGAGGCGCTTCTCCGGGAGAGCAGCTCCTGACTGCCTGACGCAGACGAAAACGTGCAAACAGCCTTAAGCTCACACGGGAGGAGCACCTGCGGCCTGGTGGGTAAGCGTCTGCCTCGGCTCCGGTCGGGCCCCAGGTGCGCTCGAGCTCCTCATCCGGCTCCCTGCTCAGCGCAGAGCCGGCTTCTCCCCTCCTCCCTGCCTGTGCTCTGTCCCGTCTGTCTCTCACTCTCAGGTAAGTAAATTAAATTTTACAAAAATCACATTCAAAAGGCGCTCCTTACACAACCAGAAGAGCAAGGGGTGTCACCTAGGCTGCCCCACGGAGCCCTCCTTTCTCTGGGCCTGACACCCAACGCTACCATGCTCAAGGGGCGGCTCCAAACACAAAGGGGGTAGGAGAACAGGTACAATATAAAATGGCCTTGGAAAGGAATATAGGTAAGAAACCACTGTTGATACTCATTTTACTAATTTATACACGTCTGCTATTGCAACGTCACGTACATATGTGAAATGTAAATATTTTTCGATTATCTGAGAAAGAGAATTGAAAGATCATCTTTCAATAAAGAAAAAGATAAAGATGGATGATTTCTGGGCACCTTCAAAAATGCATGAGCTATAAGGGAAATAACCTGGATTTTTTTTTTAAGATTTTATTTATTTGACAGAGAGAGGAGAGGGAGTGTGTGCACACGCAGGGGCGTGAGGGGGGCCGGGGTAGAGGAAGAAGGAGAAACGGACTCTCCCCAGAGCAGGGAGCCTGACTTGGGACTGGATCCCAGGACCCTGGGATCATGACCTAAGGGGAAGGCAGACACTTAACTGAAAGAGCCACCCAGGCACCCCCTGGATGTTTCTGCAGATGAACAGTCAACAGCAGGTCAAACTAAATTCCAAATGTAATCTGGGGTAAACTAAAATTTTCAAAGTATAGGTGGACTGGGCAGCTGTTTCAGTTTTTTACCCAAACTGGGACCAAATTCTTGAAATAGTTATGGCTAAAATACATCAAAAGCCCAAGGTCACCTTATCCTTTATGCTGCAAAATTCCTATTTGAGAATGTCAGACTAGGCTTTAGGAGGAGACCTAGCTAGCACCGACCCTATTTCAGACACTATCAAAGTTGGACGTTCACAAAGAATAATGAAGGGAAAATGCTTTAAAGGAAGTGGGGGGCACCTGGGTGGCCCAGTCCATCAAGCACCCAACTCTGGTTTTCGGCTCAGGTGGGAGTCTGCTTGCGATTTTCTCTCCCTCTCCTTCAGCCCCTCCTGCCCATTCTCTCTCTCTCTCTCTTTCTCTGTCTCGAGGAAAGAAATAATCTCTAAAAAATAAAAATTAAAAAATAAAGGAAGTGGAAAATGTCCCACCACAGAGGAGAAACTGGTAAGAAAGAAAGAGCATGTGAGGAGGCTCAAAATGTGTCCCATACTTATTACGATAATTACATGCATTACCGTTAACAGCAGCTATTCTCCTTTCCCACAAGGCTGTGATCCGCAGCACACTGAGCACTTTACATACACCAGATAATTACATTATCTACGTATCTACTAGATTTTTACCTCTCACAAAAATCCTAGGAGTTAATAATTATTTTCCCATTGAACAGAGCAGATTGTTTAATTTCTGAGTCTAGGGTGTTTTTCAAGTCATTTGCTCAAGATTATACAGCTTGCAAGCAGAAGAGCTGGGAATCAAGCCCAGGTCCTGTTCACTATATTCTCAGCATTAAGGTATTACTCTGAGGTGCTAAGAATCTCGGGGTGAGCCGGCGGGCAGGTGAGGCCAACAGGAATCCCATAATCTCATAAAGCACCGTTAAACTGTAACTGTGGCAAGGGCAATGATCTGACCTTGGCCAGGAGGGGTGAGGGACGGTCCTTCCCTGAGGAGCTCCAATGCAACCTGAGAACCAAAGGAAGAACCGAAGTTGCCGTGGGGAGAAGGGAGGGAAAAGCATTCTGGGCGGAGGGCACGGAATGTGCAAACACCACCGGGTGGGAAGGCGGGCGATGAGGGCGTAAAGAGCAGAAAACGGGAAGGCAGGTGTGATACAAATCTAGCAAATGCAGATTCATTAAGTAAACCTGGACCTTGGGCCGCCCACCCCCCACACACAGCGTTTTACAGACCACGCTAAAAGGTTTTTGTCACCTAACTCAATCTAATAAACATTCATTGAGTTTAAAATATATATTTTTTAAAAAATTAAAAAGATAAAATAAATTAAAAAAATAAAAAATGTATATTTTTGTCTGTATTCTAAGCACACTGGAAATTCATTTTACAGCTGATCATAGCTGTTGTCCTTAGGAAGTAAGGGGCGTAAACCAGGGTGGTGATGCCATACAGACTCTTAGCAATCTTTCAGGGGTGGGGGTAAAAATAGGTATTACAGAGCACAGACTTTGGCGTTCTAGAATAGATCTGATATAGATCTAAACGTCCCCAAACGGGAGATTAAAGCTGCAAACGGGAGAATGACATGCAGTCTCTGGGACAGACTGAGGCACAGCTAGGGCAGCCGCGGAGGGCCTGGGGTGTGTTTGAAAGTGCACAGAGGCCCCACCACGAAAAAGGCAGATGACTGTTTTCACAGCGTGGCTCCCCACCCAGGAGCTGCGTGGCTTTGGGAAAATTCCCCCCATTTGTAACACGACCTACCTCACAGAATTATTTTGAGAATAAAATGAGTTATCACCCACGTAAAGCACTGAGAGCAGTACTTGCACAGAGTAAGTATTCAATAAATACAAACCACTCTCATAGGAAGGCTACCTGCATAAAGATCACCATTTGCTATCAACAGTTAAGGAAAGGGAAATATTTATAAATATACAAACCAAGATAACCTGTTCTCATACTCACGCATACAAAAGAATCAACTGGAAAGCTTCTGAAAAATGTAGATTCCTGGCTTGGGAGAGGTAAGGCCTACAAAACTAGGTATTTCACAAGCTCCTGCAGGGTTCTAACATTCCTGATCCAAGCATATTACTTTAGGAAGCACAGTTTCAAGGCCTAGAATTTAAAATAAATACTCGGGGATCCCTGGGTGGCTCAGTGGTTTCACACCTGCCTCTGGCCCAGGGCGCAATCCTGGAGTCCCAGGATCGAGTCCCACGTCGGGCTCCCGGCATGGAGATTGCTTCTCCCTCTGCCTGTGTCTCTGCCTCTCTCTCTCTCTCTCTCTGTCTATCATAAATAAATCTTTTAAAAAAAATCTTCCTTTTAAAAAAAATAGTCATCAAATAAAGTATTTCAATGACAGGGGCTTAACTATGGAAATAACTTCATAAAACAAATTTCAACATTTTATTTTCCTCCAGGCAAAATGAAACAAGAGAACTTGCAACATCTACTGCTTCTAAAAGAAAACAGAATAATCGAGATCCACTTGATGGGCAAAATATATAGTATTTAGCTTTTAACAACCATTTTCAGGAATTACTTAAATATTTAGTGCCAAACAGTCCAAAGGTGTCACTAGGTGCTATCTTATCAGGAGAAACATCCAAGACTCTGGTATATATATGCTTTAATAACTAGATTTTTTTTCTATCAAAATTAATCGAGCCCATAGATCATCTTCAAACATACAGAGATAGTTCTTTTCTGCTAGACCACACCTAAAACTACAGACTCTGTCACCTTAGCTCAGGGGTCTCCAACCTCGGCGCTACGTAATTATGGTAGGTTGTTATTTACAGGAATTCTTTACACTAACAAGAGACCTTCAGAAAAAATCAAACAAGTGGCTAGCTTCAGGGAAGGTGAAACCATTGGCCTAATGCACATGTCTGGCGAACACCGTCAATGTCTGTGAAGACCATAAACTGAAGGTATTATTCATTCTTTTTTGCTCAAAAACCATTACGCAACCCAACACTTGGGATCTTTCTTAACCCAACCCACTGAAAATGCTGCTTGGGCTCTTTAAAAGAATAAACAATGTACATTCTTGTTTTATTTGCAAAAATAATTAGCAGCAGCTGCTACTTACACAGAACTCGTAACAGAACATATTTTACATAGTGAACCCAAATATTTCAGAACTTACAGAGCCTGACGCCAAATGGAGTACCCTGCTTTTTGGAAATTTAAAAGAAGGCACAACAATTAACTTTCACATTCCTTCGTCTAATTTTAAAAAATGACGAAAACATTTTCCCGAGACTCAAAGGAAACAGCTGGACACATCTGTCAACTACACGTCTCTGCAGTGAAAGAGAAACTTACTGCTCTAATACCACACTTACATGTGAGGGCTCAGTTCATAAAAATTTCTATTCCTGTAATCTTCTACTTTCTCTGGTGAATAAATGGGCAACGACCGGTATGGGTTAACGGATATGACCACACTTCCAATGTACGTCTGCAAAAGAAAGAACAAAAAAAAAAAAAAGATCCTCATTATCACACAGGATGTATTTTAACAGCTTAAATCTCAGGGTCTCTCAGTTTCATCCTTTTAGAAACAAAACTGGTTCTCCGGCTTGACCATTCCTACTTTTCAGGGACACTTAAGAGCTCTGAAGACAGACGGTCAAAGAAGGTTTCTTCATTTTGCTGATAAATGGAAGGCACAGATATATACATTGAAAATACCTTTCAAAATAAATCTCTAACTCCTAACTCTGGGAAACAAACTAGGGGGGGTGGAAGGGGAGGTGGGGGGGGTGACTGGGTGACGGGCACTGAGGGGGGCACTTGATGGGATGAGCACTGCGTGCTATTCTATATGTTGGCAAATTGAACACCAATAGAAAATAAATTTATAAAAAAACAAAACAAAACAAAACTCCAATACTCAGTTGTAGGACTTGGATATGTGACCTCTATATGGCATCAATCCATTTGTGTTAATTATGACAATGTGAATAAATTGTTAAGTTCCTTAAAATTCTTATCTTAAAAAAAATAAAAATAAAAAAATAAATCTCTAGATTAACGTGTGATCCCGAATAAGAGTCCCCCACAGTCCTGTCATGCTTGCCAAAATATTTGTCACCAACCACAGCTAATTTTGAGCAACAGCTATGCTGTCCCTTATTCCAGTTAAAACTGGTGTCTCCTCCTCTCCTCTTTATCCTCCACTGTAACTCAGGACTTCCCTCCTCCTGAACCACAGCCATACCTATCAACTAGGGCCTCACTCTCGGGCTGCTCTTGCACAAGCCCATCCACCTGTCCTACGGGCTCAGATGGCGTGCAGCCCGCATCGGGGCCACGGTTACCCCTGGGCATTCAAACAACAGACTTCGAAAGCCTAGCTCACACACTGCAACATCAGAATTTAAATATACTTTTTATTTATTTTTTTTAGATTTGTTTATTTATTTATGATAGACATAGAGAGAGAGAGCACAGACAGGGCAGAGACACAGGAGGAGGGAGAAGCAGGCTCCATGCAGGGAGCCTGATGTGGAACTCGATCCCAGGACTCCAGGATCGCGCCCCGGGGCCAAAGGCAGGCGCCAAACCGCTGAGCCACCCAGGGATCCCCTAAATGTACTTTTTAAAGGAGAGTACATTTAATGTCAAATTTAAATTTAATGTGGAATTTAAATGTATTTTGGAGGGAATCAATACTGTATTTTAGGAGACCTTATCCCTCTCACACTACACACTGCACTATTATTAATCATCCCTTCCATTTTGATCTGGATTCCCGGCAGCAGGAGTAGTTTGGTTCAGTTCATTCTGTACAGAGACCAGCACAAAGCCACAAGTAAGAGTCACGGAACTGGAACTCATTTTACGGGCTTCATTTTTCCTTTCAGTTTCAACATCACGGGCCTGGGGGCGGGTGGGGAGGTGGGGGATGAAGACACTAACAAAAATATGTAAGTAATAAAAATTATTTTAAGAAAAAAGGTAAAAGAAAAAAGGGGAAAGTCGGCTCTAACTTCCCCCATCTTTCCAATGTCATGTAACAGAAGGTGGCATTTTTAGAGCAACAGATTTTTCCGGTATTACCACCACTGGATTCAAGATCGTCAGCTCTTTGCATAAATTGAACGGAAAACACAGAACAGTATGAATGTTCTGATTTCTTTCTGTCATAGATCACAATTATTTGAATTACTAAAGACTTCTCCCCCAACCCAGAAAACTAAACAGGTCATTTCTACACATACTTTTTTTATCCTCTCAAGCACAGACAAGACCACTGTGGTGAAAGAAAACTGTTCCCATGCAGTTTTCTACATTTATTTCTGACATTCTATCACTAAGAACGATTAATCTGGCCTGACAGGAGAGGACTCCCACGTTTTCTAACTTTTCCCATTTTCAAGCAGGTTTCTTCACACTCCAACCTACCTAGCGAGTAGATGGGAGATGCTGGAGACTGGGTGAGTGTCTCAATCGCTTCTAACTAATATACTAGAATTATTGGGGGGCTCAGCGGTTTAACGTCTGCCCTCGGCCCAGGGGTCCCGGGATCGAGTCCCACATCAGGCTCCCTGCAGGGAGCCTGCTTCTCCCTCTGCCTATGTCTCTGCCTCTCTCTCTGTGTCTATCATGAATAAATAAATACAATCTTTAGAGGAAAAAAAAAGAATTATTAGCTACACTGGTAGATACGAAAATGTAATGACTGGTTATTCTTTTAATATCTGTTGATTAAAAGAGTGGCCTTCTTCCATAGAAAAATACATGACTCTCCTTTTTTTTTAGGTAGTTTCTAGAACACAATGATTGAAACAGATATTTGCTGTTGGCAGACAAACCAATGATCAAGTTGTTCTTTAACACCAAACTTCACGGTGGCTAAATTCTTGATAAAAATCTGCCTCGGTAGCATTCTTAAATAGTGAACAACTCTGCTGCCTCAAACTCAAAATCAAAAGCCACACTACCGGATTACAAATTTCTCTTTGTGACTTGTGACTTTCATCACACACGGAATTATGTGTGCTTCTTTTCCCCAGCTCTTTCCCTATCACCTCAAAAAGGCATGGCCCATTAATGATGCCCCATAAATATTTGTTAACCGAATGACTGACATGCCCATGGCCCATTCATCACTAAGAAAGTGACTCTCGTATCATTATCCTTCGGTTGAAATATAATAGCAAGTAAACTGTATATAGTGTCTAATATTTTGTTAGACCTACCTGCCACGTGTTGCCACTAAACAAATCTTTAAGCTCTATCCTTCCCCCTCAGGTTCCTACCGTGGGATACTGTTTGCAAAGATGGCTAGGACAATTCCTTCCACTCCTGTAGGCAGGCCCCTTTGAAATGTGGCTTTGCAAGAATATTTTATTCCTCCAATCCTTCAATTTGGCCTTGTCCATGTAACCTGATCGTCAAATGTCCAATGAGACATTATAAGATGCGACATAAGCAGAGGCTTGAAAAGTACCCGTGGAGGATGAGCCCCTTTTTGATGGCTGTGGCTGGAAGCCATGACATGAATGAGGTCGCACCACGTGGACGGCTGCGATGTCCGAGGGGCACGGCCTGACAACTGTCAGACGTACAAGCGAAGCCATTCTAAGCCATCCAGCCCCGGGCAGGCCACCAGATGCCTCAAGTCAGAGGCAGCATGATCCCAGATGGGACCAGCAGAAGGCACGGCAAGCCAGAGTCAGCATAAATTGCTATCCCGAAGAACTGTGCACAAATAAATGCTTGTTGTTTCAGGCCACTCACTTGGGGAGCTGGTAAGTCACCCAGCAACAATTACTGGCACCGCAACATAGCTCAATGAGTCAGAAGAGGGGCCGAGCACGAGCTTTACGAATCTAACAAGGAAACAGTAAAAGAAACTGTGCTATCTCCCCATGTTTCTTTATGTTTATGTTTCAGATACGAACCCTCTGGTCTTGAATTCCTAACTAGGTTTGCCCTCTACCGTGACACCTGACCTTTCTGAGTTTCTTCCCTGAACGGTCAATGTGCACTAATAGTCAAAGATTTAAATATTTCCACATTGTGTCAACCGAGTGACTCAAAGGTTCAGTCATAATCCTCCTCTCTCAGGCTCGAGAGAATTCCCGCCAGCCGCTGACTGGCTGGGTGGAGTTTACAGTTCTACTCGGTAGGCCACTACCCATTCTACGTTCAGGTAACTGCAGCACCAGATTACACCTCCTTCCGGGGGATCCAGGACAATACTGACCAGACAGTCCATGTTTACATCAGTAAACATTTGCACTTACACATGATATACATCATCATCATTATTATTATTTTCTTCACAAGCAACTGTATATTACTTATAGTTGGGTATCTTCTTATCGCGCCATGCTATAAACGAACCCACGAAGTAGCCACTGCCGTTAAGGGGTTGGAGATAAGACACAGAGTTGCTTAAAGTCCGGAATGTACATGAAAGGGCTGTGTGTCCTTTTTATTCTGAATATGCCCAGTTGAAAAAAATAATAATAAAAATTTAAAAAAAAAGCTTATAAAAATTTTACAAAAGGGAACAACAAACAGGATTCATCCCTTGCCGCCCACCCCCCCTAACCCCCCACCAAAGAGTTCCATTCACTTACTTGACTGGAAATAAGAAGTAGATGTGTCCTGTGTCGAGCACTCTGGAGCTCAGACGGTGCCAGGACCAGCAGCGCCCACAGAAAGGCCTCCGGAGGCTTAGTTCATTTCCCAGCAGGCCACTTAGGTGACGGGACTCACAATCCAACCTTGTCGCTGTACCCCAAAGAACTCAGAGGAATGTCTACTAGAATCCAGAGGATGTTTTTCCCATTAAGCTAATTACACTGAAAGGGACTCCTTCCACATGATGGCCAAGACTCTCTACCAATGAGGTTCTATCTACCTTCTCCAACAGGGACAGGCCTGGCTCTCATCACCCTCGTAGGTCTGTATGTATTTGCTCGATGATGTACTTAATGTACTCGGTGTAACCAGCCTCCTAACCACCTCGGCCACTTCCTGGCTCACCACCTCCATGCTCCCACCCCTGGGCACCCCCAAGTACTCAGGCGATGACACGGGAAAAGCCCCCTTTAGTCCCACTGCCCTGTGGGACCAGGAGGGGAAAAGGATGTGGAGGGGTGAGGAGGGGAAGGTATGGGGAGAGGGAAGTGGAGCAAGGGGGAGGGAACAGGGAGGAAAAAAAGAGAAGAGAAAGAGGACAAGCTCTACCTTTTTGCAAATGGCACATTTGATTAGCAACTTTATCTTTCACTTCTCAAGGGCAGACATTAAATCAAGAATGTACAAACATTCCTAAGTCAAAACAATCCCCGTCTTCATATTTCAGATATCTGTAGCATTCCAGAGCAGATGCCTTGTGAATAACCAAGTAATACTTGAGTGTTCCTATTGTGATCACAGTGAAGACTGAAGTCTTTCCTGGAGGAGGTGCCTCCAGCAGTTCAGAAACGAGAAGAAAAT